AATATGTTTGAAGTGGCTGCCTGGCCAAGTACCATGAAATTGCTGGGAACTGAAAATTCGTTTTGGGGCAAGCTTATGCATTTGAAGGGCGGGATTGAGCGGAGAAGTGCGGTTTTGAATTGAAATGTCTCACAAAAAAAATGTATGCAAATAACTTTATTGAAGTGCTTTAATCGACCCTCCTTTCTTTTCGAAAATAAGTATATAGACCCATTTCATAGACAATTATAGACATGATAATATTTTAATGTGGCAATTCATTCCCTTCATATTAGTATTAAAAAAAATTAATTGCTGAAAATATGTAAAAAAAAAAAAATACATTCATTGATTTCTGAAATTACACAAAATATATAGGATTACAAGTATTGGAAAATTTGTACAAAATATTAGCAAAACAAATGTTTTGAATTATTTATACGTATTACAATTGAAAACTTTCTTAATTATGTTGACACAGAAACCTAAAAAAATTGTCAAAAACTTGCACTTCACTGAACATTTTAAGACCGCCTTTGGCATAATTTAATATTATTTATACAGAGCATCAAAGGACATTATTGGGGCTCAGCAGTGTTGAAGCAACTTATTATATAATAAGAACTAATTTTAAAAGGATATTGTGCGCTTTTCTAATGGTCACACTAAAAGTTTATATAGAAAAAAAGTTGAAATCGAGTTCATTTTATGGAACATTTCTACAATATTTATAAACAAACAACAGATGATTATCAATATTTAAAATTACTCTACACATTCCCCTATTCTCACCTCAAAACATTTTATATTTGAAATTAAATATAAATAAGAGAACAATTTATTTCAGCTCTATGCTTTAAATAAACCTGAACAGTATTGTTGCTGCGAAATGCTTTACAACTGCTTTGTAAATCAAAACATACAATACTCTATCAAAACACTATTTATTTACTTTTCTCACTTCCCTGAAAGCATTCGCTTTAGATGGTTCAACAATTTTGAATTTAATGAACACAATGAACCGATTGTTGATTGGTTTCTGCGAAAAATCGTTTTGTTTATAAACTTTGGCAAGGTTTGCAGAGAGCTGGGCCCATTGTTTATATTCCTATGCTGCAATTAGACATTAAACTTGTGTGAGAAAAAACAAACCTGCTATTTATTAATGTTTCTGTATAGTTATTTGCGACGGCCCATTAATTAGGGCGGCTTCTCTAGTGCGTGTTGTGTGGGGCTGTGTGGAAGGCAAAGGTCGAGCATAATTAAATGATTGTTTAGTCTACCAAAAAATAAAATAAATTGAATCGATTTTAGAGCCCAAACGCACAACAATATTAAATCAGTTTCGAAGGCAGTGGCAGGCACTTTTTAGCCGCTTTGTAGGCTTTTGTTGTTCATGTGAAAATCACAAACAATGCCCCTTTATGGAGTGAAGAAAAAGTCACTAAAAATATACATTTGTGACAGCTAACTAATTTTTCTTAGCGGGATATTTGTAAATTACTAGCTTGAAATGAAACTATAACGGTTGTTTTGAGGTAATACCCATTGCGCTTTCTTCTGCAAAAAAATGGTGACCCCGAAAGTAATAAAGAAGAAGCATCTTTCGAAAGGAAGGAAGAAATGCCAAATAGTGAAACACATAAGTAGTATTTCATTGCAAATATAAATATTTCCAACACCTGTAAGTACTTTTCAAAATGAAAAACAAGGGACATAAAAATAATAATAAATTACTTCGCATGCCCGTCCTAATAACCTAGTTAGATATGCCGTTTCTTATTATCTTTTCATTTTATGCAATCTAGCCATTTGGCCAGATATTTTTAATTTCTCCCGCTGTCTTTGGCTAACTTTGTTGCTCCTCATTACGAAATGTCACCAAGATTGGTGCTCAGCTCCAGCTCCAGCTTTAGCTTCAACTTCAAGTTGAGCTCCAACTGCGTTTTAATGGCCTGCGATAAAACGTAATGAGAAAAAGTAGCAGCCATCGATTGTTAAGCGCACAAATGCCGTTTATTATTTGTATTTTCTTTTATGATTGTCACTTGATACTCTGCTTTTCGTAGCTCATGCTTGCCTGCCTGCCTGCGTGCCTGCTTCAGCCATTGTTGTTGTTCAATAGCGCTGCCTTGGCTTTATAATTTGCATTTTTCTAACGCAGCACAGCAGCTGCTGCCTCGAAACGCTTTCGCCGGCTTGTGTAGGAGTTGTGACGGCCCAGAGAGTTCATTGAATTGCCGCTTTTCACTTTCAATTGGCCAAACCGCAACATGCGGCGTTGACAGCTGACAACACCATGCTCTTTTGCCTGGCCTGGCCAAGCTTCAATGCAGGCTCAGACTCCGGCTCGGGCTCAGGCTCAGGCTCTGGTGACAATAACCCCACTAAAGAGCTGGCAAAAAGTCTGCAACGCACAGAGATGCGAAGCGCCAGCAGCAGCAACCGCAGCCAGAAGTCAAAATGTATTGACCTCTTGCTTTAAAATACCAAAAACACCTAAATCTTTCGAGAAACAGCAAGAATAGGCGAAAACCGAAAAAATAGGGATCACAAGAGATACCTTGATATCTAAACAAGTACAAAATATACAAATACAAATCTTCGGTATTTTCTTAGATTTTGGTATATGGGAAAAAAGAAATTGTGAGTTATATAAATTAGGAAGTGTGCCTCCAAAATTTCTACATAAATATGAAGTCTATCAGTTGTTTTAAATCAGCATATATTTTCTTCTCTTTTGTTATATTCCACACGACAATTAGAAAAGCGTTTTTTGTAGATTCAAAACTCTATCATTATTCAGAGAAAAATATAACTAAAAGGTAAACAAAGGCCTGTTTGTTTGGCCTATAGAGAAATTAGTTAGGACAGTAAATCCATACAGTTTTGTCTTCAAGCATTACTCAAATTTCAAATCAGCTTCGATGCTTTCTTACATTTACAGTAAATATTTCATCTAACTATATGTATCTTTTCATGGCATACATACTTTGGAGTAATTTGTATACCTGTCCGATCAAGGCATTAGCAAAGTTAAAAATCCTCCTTCTCACAGTAATGATAACAATTTAAAAGCTTTCAGATACCAGCTGAGCAGTTAGTTCTTCTAATGCTTAGGAACTCAGAGAACACTTAAATTTTGCTCAACATAAGATTCTGTGTAGCTCTAACTCCATTTACTCAAAGTTATCTCGTTTTGACTCTACAAAGGATTATCCTATATATATTGAACATCCGCTGACAAAGCCAACAACCAACAACAATAACTCAATATCTTTTTGCAACACTTTCCAATTCAACCGTGACATTGCTGCATAAATCGATATTGAAGAAAAATCCATTAATTAATGCTGCTACCACTAATGCGTAACTCTAAGCAAGCCCACACGTTCCCATTTCAATTTCGCACATAAATCAAGTTGACCTTAAAACTTTGTCATAACATGGTCACACAGTGGCAGCTACAACAACAGCAACTACTACTATAAGAGATAGTGGACCGTCTCCGTCTCATGCTGCTGCCGCTGACAGGCGAACCGACAAAGGGAGGCGGGCAGTCAAGGTGACATAAATATCCAGTTGCGCCCCAAAAGGAAACTCACTTTGCCAAGGCAACTAGCGACACATAAAAAATGCTGAAAAAAAATAATAAACAGCATGACGACCATTAACAGTGGACCGGATTCCTAGACTATGTAGCTGGACTAAATTATTTAAAGGTCATCATCTTTAATAATATATCTTTAAAAAGCATATAGGGTTTGATTCTAAACCTCAAAAAAAGGAAATTATTAAGAAATCATCTCAATCATCTTTCTTCCAAAAGGGTTTAGGGCCATTTCTGAAGGATATTGACTTGGGCACGAAAGTAAACAATCTGGTTCTCAAATGGTAGATTCTTAAAGAGCGTTGATGGTAATTATTAGATTGATTTTGTCAATTCAAAGCGATGATTTATTACAACTAATTTATTTAGAATTCAATAGAAAAATTTGATAACATAAATCATTCATTTGGTTTTGGAAAAATTCGTAAAATAATTTTGATTAGATTTTCAAACTCTGTGAGTTTATGCAACGAATAATAAAAATCGTTTCTTTTTTAAATCAAATCATTCGAAGAGTACCACAATTGATTTATCGAATACGTGTTTGTACTGCAAACTCAAAAACGTTTGAATAAGATTAATTTTAGAACACACATTTGTGTATTCATTTTATTTTATTCATCAGTTATCAATTTCGCTGCATTTCATTCTTATTGGAGACTCTGCAATCCGGACACAATCCGGATTTCCTTTTTATTACCTAACAAATCCGGACACTTTGTTTATTTGTAAAAGATTAATAAAACTCCTATCTTACTTTATAATTGTTTTAAGCAGTTTAATTTAAAAGCTTTTGCCAAAAGTAAGGGCACACATGCAAATAATTTCCATACAAACTTGTCGTATTGTATAAATAAACATTGTTGTGGCTAGAAATTACACTTGAGCATAGAATTCGTATTAGGTTACGTTAATTCGTTGTCTAGAACAAGAATTAGTTTTCATTAAAATAAAATCATTTGTATGAGACGCTTTTAGGATTCGACAAATTTGTACGCAAATTATTTGCTTGTCTGAACATATGTAGCCAAAAACTTTCGACCAGAAATATAACACAAAACTTCGATAAATTAAGACTACCAAATTCTGTCATTAACCGTTTGGTACTAAAAGAACATTCTTGATATAATTAAATGATTTCCATGTCTCTGTAGGTGGGAAATTTCGTTTCTACGCACATTGGCCGAACTCGTATTGTATCTGTATGCAATTATCACTTGAAGGATTTGCCAACTAACTCGTGTCAACAGGTTTTTTTACTTATTAGTAAAAAATTTATAATTTGAAACTTGCAATATTTGCTCAGTGGATGTTGGATTTTAGCCACTGTGCGAAAATGCAGACAATTCAACACGCACGCTTACACTCAAGAATAACTTTGAATATGGAGTTAAGAACATGGACTACCAACCTGCTGGATTGGCCAGACGGCCAGGCTGTTGGAATTTCTCTGCAACTGCTGCTGAAGCTGCTGCTGTTGTTGTTGTTGTTGTAGCAGGATTTGTTGCTGTTGTTGTTGCTGAGGCAACAGCTGATTAAAATGTGTCAAGTTTTGCTCCGAGCCGACATTCTTGTTATTATTGCTGTTGTTGTTGTTGCTGCTGCTATTGGTGGTGGGACGTCGTGCCGGCAGCGCCGGTGGTGGAGGTGAGAAGGAAGTTGGAGGCTCGTTGTCATTAACATCCAAATGGCTGACCTCATTTTGTTGTTGCTGTGGTTTCTCGATTCGTTTGGCCAATGCCAAGGTACCGTTACCGTTGCTGTTGTTGTTGTTGTTCAGGGAAAGTGAACGCGCAAAAGAACTTTTGAAATAGCGACACGGCATTTGAAAATCAAAATCGGGCGGAGATCCATTATTGTTATTTGCCGCATCATGCATAGAGGCTGGCGTCGACGGCGACGGCGACGTCGGCGTTGGCAGCGTTGCCGGCGCACGTTTCAAATTGCACGCTTGCATTGTTGTTGTTGTCGCTGTTATTTCTTTTTGTTTTCTTTTCTTTTGCTATTTGCCGATGCGGATTTGAATTGTTGTTGTTCGCAGTGTGCTGCGCTTTTAATTTTGCATTTTGTCTAGCATTCCGTATTACAATTGTTTCACTACTGATGTTGTTGTTGTTGTTTTGCTTCGTTACTTTTTGGCTTTAAAAATTTAGTGCATTTTTTCACGCACAAATTCCAACACACTCGCACGCACGCACACAGACACAGATGAGAATGACAACGCGGCCGGCAAAATTTGAGCATTTGCTGTTTCACTCACAAACATTGAATTTGATTTGCCAATATTCAAAAAATGTATTTAATTTGTTAGCACATTTGCTTATTTTTTCAAATTTATTATTAAAAACGCGCCACTGGCTTGAGCAGAAACAGCAGCCATGGGAACCCACAAATTAGAAACACACGTCCGTTGCGAACCGCTTCTTTTCGACGAATGCGAGTGGTTTGTTTTTTTCTGGTTTCCAACGAGTGCGTCCGCAAAGCTTACTCAATATTATGCTCACTGATTAATGCTCTGGCGCTCTCTCTTCTTCTTTTGATCGCGATTTGTACAAAAAGTGTGTTGTCATATCCACCACAGCAGCTGACCAGAGTTTACCACTCCACACATACCACGGTGCTCTAGAGCTGCCAGATCCAAACGTTTTGTGGTGAGTCGGTTACACTCGATGGAAAATTTAAATAGAAATCGTGCTGTGATTGAAAAACATTCACAAATAGAAATGAGTTTTTTTTATTTACAAATTCTGATGTTCATAAAAATATATTTGAACCAAATGCAATAATTTGATACTTTTTATTATTTTAATAAAAAATGTAAATCTCGACAATTCCGCGGTTAATCAAAACTGGCAAACGGCTGTAAACGGAATTGAATTTGGAATTGGAATTATAAATTGTTAATTAACACTTGACTAAAAATTGGTTTGACAAAATCCCAAATGAAAACAGGCTTGATAATTATTACATAATTTATATTATTTCTGCTTTGCTCAACCGATGTTTTTTTTCTTAAATCTATCTGTATTTTTTAATTTTTAAAAGATATATAATATATACATATATTGAAAAACATATTCAAGACCTGCCGTAATCTTGATTTTAAGTTTCCCTAAATTTCCTAAAATGTACGTGGAAAAAATTCAAAACACTGTCTTATCATACTTAAACAATTATACGTATTATGTATAGACATAGCCATATAGTATTTATCTACTTTGTCTATTAATGTAATCGTTTAGGAAATTCGCATGATCCAAAGAATACAAAATGAAAGGATGTATTTTTGAAATTCAAAATTCTGTCAAGTAGTATAAAAGTTTTGTATTATAAAAATTTTATTTTTTATTCCTATTATTTAACATAAGCATTCGGATTTCGCATCTTAACAATACGAGTTGTGATATAAAAAGTAACCCAACTTCGCGAGGATTTATAATTCAAAATATGTTTTTATTTATGAATTAAAACTAAATAACTGTTGCATACTTTTTGTTGCTTGTGCCAAGACACCACTTGAGTCACAAATTCACGAGAAGTAGCACAAATTGTCTGAATGATATTCAAAAATAAAAGCTAAATGGTGGTTATAAATAATTTATCGTTCTTGCTTAAAATAATATTGCCCAAAAATATATAACTTACCTGGAAATTTGTTTAAATAATTTGTATTAAAGCAGTGCGGTAATAAAAGCTGTAGCATACTTTCCGGTGCTTTTGCAACAAACTCACCAAATGTGACAATTCACTCACCACATATTCACATTAATTTCTGATTGAGCCGGGTTGGCAGGACATGTCCTGTATTTAAAAACTGATGATATATAATAATTTTATAATACTAATATGCTGTCAATTGTCAGCTGAAGAGGTGTAACCACTTATCTCACCCATTGGTACATACATATGTATATATGTTTTGGTATTCAGTCTCTGATTTTACTGTCAGAATGTTGTTTGACAGTTAAAGCTGAGGAGCATTACAACCTTTTTTTATCAATCATGTTTTAGGTTACAACTAAAAGTATTGGTGGACTTATCTAAAGACCAAGTGCGCGGCTTCGCAGGAATTTAGATGGTGTTGTTTTTTTCAATCACTCTTTCGTACCCGTAATTCCCGCACTAATGCTGACGACTTACGCGGTCAGGCATTGCAGACAGGCTGCCAATCAAAGTGATTGTGTTATTTTTGGTGAGAATTATGTTTTTCGTTGTGCTTACAGCAAATAATATTCAATATTGTGGAAGATTTTCAATTAGCCCATACATATTATAAAGTTGCAATTTGATGCCAACACACGTCTGTATGGATGTATGTATGTATCGAATATTTTGGGCATCTCCAAAAATAGTGCGAAACAGCAAAGAACAGCATATTAGCATTAGTCATCTATATCTTCAGCATCCTCCTCCGGCAGCGTCAGCACATTTATTTAAATGTCTATTTCGGTCTCTGGTTCGCGCGCGTCATTGCCCCACTGTGACCGTGCGCATGCCTCGATCTGTTCGAATTACATAAATCTTATATAATGGCGCAATGGTTAGAGCGGGACAGATCGTGTGCAAATGGCCGCCAAAGCAGTTGGCATACATTCGAAGGCGCATGGTTGGGCCAGCGCTTAACCCTAGAAACACAAAGTAGAATGTTATTGTCATGTCAGTCCAACGCTTGAATACCCTGTATCCATCACCCTTTTATTCCACTACAATTATTCAACTCAAATGAAAGCTTATGCATCAATCATTCCTCTAACAACTTTTACTATCCCATAAAAAATTATAAATACCAATTTTGGCTGCGATAACAAACTTATCAAACAAGACGTTCGTACTAATATTTTTCATGTTTTATTTTGGTTGAATGGCAGTTGGTTATTAAACAGGATTCAAATGTCGAGCTGTCACAACTTTAAAGCTCCACAGGTTTTTTGTATTTTCCCCTAATCTTCCAAAAAAAGTTTGTAATATACAAACCTTTAGACATTGGTTCATTTCTGTCTGTTTAAGTAAAATATTAAATTCTAAAGTATAAGTATTTTAGATATTCATTTCATTTGAAAAGCGAATGACAGCTAGTTTGTGTCTCTTAGTTGGGTGCTAAAAAGGCTCGGCTCACCTACTTAGTGTTAATGATACACTCGACTTTACACACACACCCACACACACATACAAAATCACACATGCATGCTCCCGCTCCAGCAGCGACCACGTGATAGCGCCTGTAACTAGCCCCCCACCAACAACAACAGCTACTGCAGCCTCCTCTCAGTGAGTTGCGCTCGCTCAGCTCCACTAGAACTTACTCTCGCACTCAATGCGTTCGCGCCAGCAGCCGCTGATCTCGCGTTCGCTTATATTTTGATTTCCAATTTACAACTGTTTTGCATTGGTGTTGGCATTAGCGTTAGTGTTAGTGTTGCCTGGCCCCCCTTCTCCAACGCCTGTGTACTAACTTTATGTATTTTTATCAATTCACAATTTAAGTGCGCGCCGCTCAATTCAGTTTCGGTTGTTTTTGGAGCGAAGCGGTTTAATTCAACGCTAAGCCCATCACCCACATTAACAACAAATAAAAAATTGCGCAAAGTGATTGAGAGTTTATGAGATGACAACAACAACAACTAATACTGTTATTGAAACGGCGCCGAGAAGCAGCAGCGCTCCGGCCGCCTCCTTCGCTCTGATTTGGGAACGAGAGAAAATAATGGATTTATCAATTAGAGGTGAGTGTGTCCCCCATTCTCTTTTGATTAACTCACTCATGCCACCACTACCTGTACGGAAAACACGTGCAATTGCAGTTGTGTATTGGTATGTGTATTGGTATGTGTATTGGTATTGGTGTGTAAGCACACACCCTCGAACACATACCCATATGGTGCATATTTATTTGAGTTAAGCCGGCAAAAGCCGTCCATGTGACAAATTATTTAATTTCGCTGTTGCCGCTGAAAATCGGCTTGGCTTCAGCAAATAAAAGTAAACAAACAATAATGATAAACAGCGGATGGGAGGGAGGTAGACAGTTGCCAACTGCGCGCGAGAGAGCGGGAGAGGGCAATGTGATGTGTGCCTCGCTTAATTGCACAGTGACGCAATTTCAGTAATAAATCAACGTTAAATTTTACAATATATTTAAGCATTAATTAATAGTGTTGAAAACGCTATTTTCAGCCATTTATGTATATAGTTTTGTTAGTAATATTTTCCCTTCTAAGCAAAAGACTGATGTATGTATAATATTTATAAATCCTGAACTTTGGATTTCTATACGATTTATTAAAATTTTGTTGTTGTTTACTTATATCATATTTACTTATCATATTTTTAAAATTAAACTATCCTCTTAGCGCACATTTAAAATTCGTGAAATCTTTTTTATCTAACCACCCGTAATATGCAGTTCTATACTAATTTTTAGATGTTTTCGATAATTAAGGCATAATTGTCATTAATTTTGCGATTTAAAAACTAAGGTGAAAATTGTACATAGGTCTATTAATTATTAGGTATGACGAATTGAATCCGTCTGTATGAACTTTGAGAACTTTTGAACCATACATATATAGTATAATTTCAGAACAACTTTGAAACAAACATAGACTCATTGTTAATTATAGCTGGTAAAGGAATTATCAGGGTAAATGTCAATTTTAGGAGGATTCATTTGTTTATAGAGATATCATGAGAAAATTGTACATATATCATAGAAACGATTGATTCAAAATCACTTTTAGAATCACTTTTAGAACTTAAAACTCTTCTGTTTCTTTTGCAACCACATTTGTTATTTGTGAGTGTGCCTAAGTATAACCTGATGGTTTTTTTTATAGCCTGTACCCAAAGGGTGAAAGGCTATACTAGTTTCGTGCGCATGTATGTAACATACAGAAGGAGGCGTGGCAGACCCCACAAAGTATATATATTCTTGATCAGGATGAGAAGCCGAGTGGATATAGCCTTGTCCGTCCGTCCGTCTGTCCGTCTGTCCGTCTGACCGTCTGTCCGTCTGTCTGTCCGTCTGTCCGTATGAACGCAAGGATCTCAGAAAGTATAAGAGCTAGAATAACCAAACTTGGTTTCCATATTCTCCTCAGACCGAGAAAGTACGAGTTTGAGTTTTTTTTCGATGCACCCCCCCACTCCCCCGCAATTCATGTTTTTTCTTATAACTTCCGTAATTCTCGGAAATTTGAAATCAATTTTGGTAGGTACATCCAGTTAGTACTAATGTGTCCGTGTGCCAAATTTCATCATGATAGGTCAATTCTGAAGAAAGTTATAGCCATAAGTAAAATCGCTGCTCATGCGCTGCCTGCAGCTCTGCCGGCAGCGCTGCCCGCAGCTGTTGTTGTTGTTGCTGCTTTGGTTCAACTTTGTGCTGTATACATACACGCATATAAACACGCATAGGTACGTGATGTAAATGTATGCTGTTAAAACTGAACATAAACATGTATTCTAATGTAATTTAATTAATTAATTCATTTTTTTTTAAATTAATTTTTTTTTTAAATTTTTTTTTTTAATTTTGTTTTTTTAATTTTTCTTTTTTGAGTACAGGCTATTTTACTGTCGGGCTTGCTCGACTGTAGCGTTCTCTCTTGT